TAATTAATACTATGCATTACTACGTATTAGACTAATTAACTTTTAAAGAAACTTTCATGTACTAAAAAAAATAAATTCACTCATACATAGTTTATGGTAACGAATGGTCATTAAATAATTTTGTATAGAATTAAGAGATCTTAATAGCCAAATTGTTACTTGTTTAATATCATGAACTATTGTACAAATTGAATTTTTAAATACTCTATAAGAAAAAAATCGCCCATTATATTTAACAAGAAGAATAAAGGTTCAAGATTTTAATCTTATTATTTTTATTATACATTTTAATTTATGTCTAAGCAAAAGATTACTCGTAATATATGACTTATGAAAAATTGCAAATATTGTGGCCAAATCTTGTTTATAGTTGATGTACCCAAGATTATATATAAACTTGATGTTGCAGTACGTAGAATACAGTGGAAGTGCAGTTAGGCAAATCATTACTTGAAAGATATATTTAGCCAATAAACATATCTTTAATGGATAATGTTCATTGAATAAAAGCAATCATATCATTTGAATACATTAAGAAATGGGAACAACTGATTTTTATGTTTGCATAACAAAAATAAAGCTTTTCATATTTACTTTGGAACATACAAGATTTAAATCTTCATCCTATTTAGGCTAAACACTAATTTGGTCCCTTATAATAATTAATAGTTTTAATTTTATTAATTATATTTAATTATTTTATTATATCTAATATAATAAAATATTATCGTAACTGAAATCATGACGGAATGGTACAAATATATTTTAATAGAGTCGTTACCAATAATTTATTTTAAGGAAAAAGCATTAACAAAAACTCTTTTAAAAATAATCTGTAAAATCAAAATTGGGTTCGGAAGTTAATTACGTGTAGTAAAGGTATTAGTACCCTACGACGTCTGTAAAAAAACAGTACCTTTAATTAATAACGCAAAATTATATAAATTCATAAATATTTATTTTACTCCTCAGAAATGTATATATATTTTTTTAAAATGTGAGAGATGCTTCTTTTGTATTTTTATTCTAAAAAAAATTATAAGGATTTGAGTTAGCAAATGGCTAATCAATAACCCTTGCAATAACATTAAAGATAGAATTACTATTCAATTAATGTTATTGATATTTATTCGTTGATATTACATTAAAATAAAAACTTTCATATTTGTACATTTTTATTTTATTTAAAAAAAACTTACACAAGAATTAAGTTAGCAAATGGTTAATCAATAAACCCTTACAATAACATTAAAGATAGAATTGTTATTCAATTAATGTTATTAATAACCATTTTTGTTTTCATAAAATGATAATTTTTAATTCACCTTGTGCATAAAACCTTAGATAGCAAATGATGAACTTTTATGATTTACATGATATTAAGGGTAGAAGGACTACTCACTTAATATCATTAACCACTAAAAATAACTTCTATGTGAGAGAGGAACCTTTTTTTTTATAAATATATTTTATTTAAAGAAATAAATTTTGCGTAAGGATTCAAATTAACAAATGACTAGTTATTACTCTCACAATTAACATTATTAACTATTACAAATTAAAGTAAATTTTAAAGAATATTTTTTCCAAGAAAATAATTTACTCTAAACATAAAAATTCATGATAGCAAATGGTTATTTTATAAATTATTATGATTTCAATGATATTAAAGGTAGAAACGTTACTCAATTAACATCACAAATCGTTGCATACGAAGTGCTTTGTATCTTAAAAATAAGCAACGTTGCTTACAAGAAATTCCCATTGGAGTGATCCTACGTGACAAGAGAAGCTTCAATTTTTTTAGTTAAGTTGGTTGAAGAAGGAATGCTGCTTAGCACTCTGAAATGTGAAATAGAGAGGTTTGATTGGTTGATCCGGATCCTTGCTGGAACGTGGATACAGATTTTTGCAAACAACAACAGATGGGTCGTTTGTCCCGCTTCTCCTCCCTATCGGACCACTCCCTCCGCTCGCTCTCCTTCTTGGCATGGTGCTGCCACCGGTGGATGTTGACCTCTGGGGGCTACGCACGCACGTCTGAGCCGATCTCCTTAGCCATGCAAATGTCTGGGCCGATCTCCTTAGCTGCGTGCAAACGTCCTCCTCAACCTTGCACGCATGTCCGGGGGGGCCGATCTCCTCACCACGTGCGTGCACCTGTAGGCCGAACCGTTCTCGTTAGCGGCGTGTGAACGACGGGCCCGAGCCGATCTCCTCATCGCGCGTGTGCACGTCTCAGGCGGCCGATCTCATCACTGCAGCGCGTGCGCACCTTTAGGCCAGGCTGTTCTCGTCAACTGCGCGCGCACCTCTTGGCCGGACGGGTCTCGTCAATCGCGCACTCCTCCAAGCGGTCGTTCATGGTGAGGGCGGCGGTGAAGGGTGAGGGTGAGGGATGTTGAGAGAGAAGAGAAATTGAGAGATGTTGAGAAAGTGAGAGACGTTGAGAAAGATAGAGACGTTGAGAGCATGGACAAAAGAAACATCTGGAAAAAAAAAAAAAAAAAAAAGATGTTGATGGATAAGAAAATTTGAAAAAAACTATTTTTAAATTTTACATTTTGTTAAATATGATCAAAGTGTCTATTTTTGTATTGATGAATTTGATCTTCAAACTTTAGAAAACATATATATTTCTAAGAAAACATATAAATTAGTGTGTATTTAATTTTTATATTTAATTTTGTTGTAATTTTTGGTAATTCTTTTTATTATTTAATTTCTTTTTATTATTGTAATTTTTTTATTATGTAATTTATTTTTTTTTATTTATATTTATATATTATCCATAATAATTAATTTTTTTAAAAATTATCATAAAATGTAGTGTGAGTTGTCAAAAAGTGTAGTATGAGTTATAAGAAAGTAGAAGTACTTATAAGTAATTTCTATTGGAACAAAAATTATAAAAATATAGTATAAAATACTTATGAGTGACGTGTCACGATATAACTCATTTAAATTGGTTAAAAGTTGCTTATAAACAACTCTTGATATAAATACTCTAATTGATATAAATACTCTAATAGCTTATTGTGTCTTCCACTCTTCACGTGTGTGGAGTAACATATGCCACATATTCTTTTGACAAAAGATTAATTTGATTTTAATCTTTGATGTAGTCATGTACTCACGTGCCGTGTATTTAATTTTTTTTTCCTTTTTTATTTCATCGAGCACATGCGAGAGCAAATCCTCCACGGTATCTTTTACTAGTAATTTGGCATACCTTTACATAGATACCTATTTATTACATGTAATTAAAATTTAAAATAAATTATGTACGGGTAGGGGCGTTTAGCCACCCTCTTATCGGTTACCGAGGGACCGAATCAGGTGGCCGATTGGCAATCGGCCACCTGGTTCGGCTTATCTCTATTAATTATCTTTAATAAACCATTAAAGGTTAATTAGCTGATTAAGAAGTATTACCTGATACGGTAAGTTTTTACAGGGCCCATAAGGTCCAGGGCCCACGATCGTCAGTATAAATAGCTCAGGTCAAAAGGTAACGTCACTGTTCATTAATTACCCTAGATTTCTGTGCCCGTGCTGACTTGAGCGTTGGAGTGCCTTTTGCAGGTACAAACCCTTTCACTCATATCGGATTGGAGCGTTCGTTCGGCCTTCAGAACACAGGAAGACTATTTGGTGTATCCTTATACAGGTACATTTGGCGCCCACCGTGGGGTCGAACGAAGTTGGTTGGAAGTTTGTTGAGAAGAACGATGCCGATAACTAGGAGAACAAACACGCAAGATCGTCCCATTGAGGAGCATGTGGAAGTGGTGGATGAAACCGATCTCTCTGAAACAGTGCGTTTGCTGAAACAAGAAATGGAATTAATGAAACAACAAAGAGAGAAGGATGCAAGAGAGCTTTCGGCCTTGAGGGCTGAGAATGAAGCATTGAAAAGTCAGGATACAACATGGAAGCCTACTCATATCACCAACACACAAACTCAAGGGTCGTATCAATCTCACGCGGTCCATACATCGGTTCCTCATGCTTCAGCAGTAGCCCCTGAGAGGTTCCCTTCGGCCTTACCTACTGTGGGTCGTCCTGCAGATATAACCACTGTCGGATCACACCGACATCCGTTTACTCCCTCCATTATGCAACTCCCTTTAATGGATAATTGGAAGGCTTTACCTATTGACAAATATGATGGTACCACTGATCCTGATGAACATTTAGATGTTTTTCTGACACAGGTAACTCTGAGTACGACCGATGACGCTGCGTTGTGTCGGATCTTTCCTACGTCCCTCAAAGGCAGAGCTCTCAGCTGGTTCACTCGTCTCCCACCCAATTCAATAGATTCCTTCAACACATTGTCATCACAGTTCACTATCCAATTTGCGACGAGTCGCCCTCATAGTCTAACGTCTTTATCTCTGGTTAGTCTTAGACAGGACAAAAAGGAGTCTCTTCGGGCGTTTATGGATCGGTTCAACAAGGCTACTTTGGAAATCAGAGATCTCAACCCAGCTGTGGCGCTACATCATCTTACAACAGCTTTGAAACCAGGCTCATTCATCAACAGCATCTGTAAAAAGCCTCCTTCGGACAGCGGGTGTACTCTTTTCCTTGATCAGTCTTTTCTCCCCTTATAAAAAAGTGAAAAGGGGTTTTGGCCGACAAGGTTTTTAACGAGGCACCCAGTAATAAAATTTCATCCGTTCTTCCATTTTATTGTTAGTTTATCAATTCCTAACGGCTGAAAAATCTCGCAACAGGCTTCCCTCCCGAGTTGTTCTCGTACCGATGTATACATATAAGCACAATATTAAAAACTTTTATTCAAGAGATAGTAAACATGCACCAAATTTTTCACATTTAAAAGAGAGTACAATATAAACTTGATCATTATTAATCTATTGAAAGGACAGAGACTTAGTCAAATTAAAATATTAAAAATAAAAAATGATTAAATGAAATATTTAATTTAAAATTTAAATTATAAAATAATTTCTCACTATAAAATCCTTGCCTCGTAAGTAACAGATTATACTCCTTCCCATGGCTTCTAACGGGAAAAACCTTGTCCATGAAACCCAAGTGGTGGTTGTTATGATACCTTTCTCTGCACAAGGCCATCTCAACCAGCTTATGCACTTTGCACGTCAAATCTTGTTACACAACATACCAGTCCATTATGTTAGCACAGTCACACATATTCGTCAGGCCACACTTAGATACAACAATTCCACTTCAAACATTCATTTCCATGCCTTTCAAGTTCCACACTTTGTTTCCCCTCCTCCAAACCCAGAAGAAAATCACCCATCGCATCTACTTCCATCCTTTGAGGCCACCTCACATCTTCGTGAGCCTGTTAGGGAGCTTCTTCAGTCCCTCTCATCTCAAGCCAAAAGGGTCATAGTCATCCATGACTCTGTCATGGCCTCAGTGGCACAAGATGCCACAAACATGCCCAATGTTGAGAACTACACTTTTCACAGCACATGTGCCTTTACCACCTTCGTTTATTTCTGGAAGAAAATGGGAAGGCCTTCATTTGAAGGATTGCATGTCCCAGAAGGAAAACTTCCTTCTTTCGAAGGATGCTTCCCAACCCAATTCTTGGATTTCTTGATTGCACAAAGTGAATTTCTCAAATTCAGTGATGGAAACATCTTCAACACAAGCAGGGAAATTGACGGTGTTTACCTTGAGTTGATGAAGGGTGTGACTGGTGGCAAGAAAATTTGGGCACTGGGACCGTTCAACCCTTTAACCGTTGAGAAGAAGGGTTCAAAAGGAAGAAGGCACTCATGCATGGAGTGGCTTGATAAACAAGAGCCAAAGTCAGTCATATATGTGTCTTTTGGGACTACAACAACTTTGAAAGCGGAACAAATCCAACAGATTGCAACTGGGTTGGAACAAAGCAAGCAGAAGTTCATTTGGGTGCTTAGAGATGCTGACAAAGGAGACATCTTTGATGCAAATGAAGCAAAAAGGCATGATTTTTCAAATGGGTTTGAGGAGAGATTTGAAGGGATAGGGCTTGTTGTGAGGGATTGGGCACCCCAATTGGAAATTCTGAACCACCCTTCAACAGGGGGGTTTGTGAGTCATTGTGGATGGAACTCATGCTTAGAGAGCATAACCATGGGGGTGCCAATAGCAGCATGGCCTATGCACTCTGACCAGCCACGAAACTCAGTTTTCATGACACAGGTGCTCAAGGTTGGTTTAGTTGTGAAGGATTGGGCCAAGAGGGATGTGTTGGTTACTGCTTCGGTTGTTGAGAATGCTGTGAGAAGGTTGATGGAAACAAAGGAAGGTGATGAGATGCGAGAGAGAGCATTGAGGCTTAAAAATGCCATCCACAGGTCCATGGATGAAGGTGGAGCTTCTCGCATGGAAATGGAATCTTTCATTGCTCATATCACTAAGTAGTCTTATGGATTAATATTAGTTTGTGGTTCCTTTTTGAATAAGACAGAATTTGAATTCATGAATAAGTTAATGCGCAGAATAGGATTGGCATGAAAATATACACATTTCTGTTTCTTGGAACTTAATTTGGTTAAGTTTATGAGAAAAATATGTATACTTAGCCTTTCCGCAAAGTTCTTATCTAGATATTTCAGAACAATCTTTGATATGAATAATTGTGTTACGTGCAAATCAAAGTTATGGATATATGTCATATATGCAATTATCTATAGTCTGTTCTATTAACCATTGCATTCTACTTTACTTCTAGATTAACTTTTCCTTCGAAGATAAATATCTTTAATTTATAACATTATATTGATTCAGGGATCTATGTTTATGTTAATGGAGATAAATATCTTTAATTTATAACAGTATATTAATGTTAGTGGAGGACTTGTCTCTACTAAAATTCTTTTCATTCTTTTTTATATAAAATATTAATTATTTTATAATATATATATATTATTAATTATATTTTAATTATTTTATTATATCTAATATAATAAAATATTGTCGTAATCAAAATCATGACGGAACGATACAAACATATTTTAATAGAGCCGCCACCAATATTTTATTTTAAAAGAAAAACATTGAAAAATCCTTTTAAAAATAATCTTTAAAATTAAAATTGGGTTTGGAAATCAATTATGTATAGGGAAAATATTAGTACCGTACAATACTTGTATAGAAATAGTACCTTTATTAATTGCACAAAATTATATAATTTTATAAATATTTATTTTACTCCTCAAAAATACTTTATTTGTATTTTTATTTAAAAAAATCATAAGGATTTGGGTTAACAAATGAATGATCAATAAACCTTGCAATAACATTAAAAATAGAATTGCTATTCAATTAATGTTATTGATATTTATTTGTTCGTTTCTGGAGTATCAGGATGGGATAGCTGGCCCCAAGATTTAATGGGGCTGTATACACAAGGCAGGATTCGAACCCCTAACCTTGCTTAAGCGTGGATTAACCCCTACCGCTGAACCACAAGCTTGGAGTTATTTTTATTTGTTGATATTACATTAAAATAAAAACTTTCATATTTGTACATTTTTATTTTATTTAAAAAAAAACTTACACAATAATTCAAGTTAGCAAATGGTTTATCAATAAACCCTTACAATAACATTAAAGATAGAATTACTATTCAATTAATGTTATTAATAACCGTTTTTGTTTTCATAAAATGATAATTTTTAATTTACCTTGCGTATAAAAACTTAGGATAGCAAATGACTATTCTATAAGTTTTTATGATTTACATGATATTAAAGGTAGAAGGACTACTTAATTAATATCATTAACCACTAAAAATAACTTCTATGTGAGAGAGAAACCCCTTTTTTAAAAATATATTTTATTTAAAGAAATAAATTTTTCATAAGAATTCAAATTAACAAATGACTAGTTATTATTCTCACAATTAAATAACGTCGTAGATAAAAGTATTATTCAATTGACGTTATTAACTATTACAAATTAAAGTAAATTTTAAAGAATATTTTTCCCAAGAAAATAATTTACTCTAAACATAAAAACTCATGATAGCAAATGACTATTCTATAAATTCTTATGATTCATGTGATATTAAAGGTAGAAACGTTATTCAATTAACATCACAAATCGTTGCATACGAGAAGATAATTTATATGTGAAATAAACCTCTTTTATTTATTTATTTATTATTTTTTATAAAAAAAAACTTGTATAACAATTTAAGTTAGCAAATGACTAATCATTAAACTCTCAAAATAACATAAAAAATAGCATTGTTATTTAAATAACGCTATTAATTATAGTAAAAATCTTTTGAATTATTATTTGAGTGAAAGATGATGACTTTCCTATTTTGAAATCATCCTCGCGCAAGAATTTAAGCTAAAATGTGACACCCTCTATCCCAACATACATATATAATAATTATAATTTCATATTCTTGGAGTAAATAAAATCTTTAGAATTGAAACAATGGTTCCACTAACATAAGAGTAGATAATTCACATTCGTAAACTTAAATCATGGTCAAATGCAGAATTTACAAGAAAATGAAACATGAGTTTTTTCAAAAACAAAATAACAATATTGAACTTCTAAACTAAGTCTAACTATGCCCTGATATCACATATCTTATCAGAGCACGCCAAACTGAAGCCTAAGCCTCATCATCAACATCCTCATGCTGATGATCACCTGTAACATAATTTAAACACAGACAAAGAACAACAAGAGAGTGAGAAACATCTTACTCAGGTTCAGGTGTAGAAATAAAGGTTAGACATCACACACACAACAAACATAATACAAGTCATAAGCACCAATCACATATAAACAATACACATACACAATCAATATCACATGCACACTCAATATCATGCAATGATGTCATGGACTCAACTCATAAATGCATGCATGTGGCACTAGTCACATGTCTCATAATCACATATCACATGGTATGCTGCCGAAACAACATACCTAGAGTAGTTTAGGAGTACATGTCGGCTCAACCGTGTACTCTCAATTAGAAGGATGTACTGCTAGGGTCTCGTCGAGATAGTGAAGTTGCGCAAGATACGTCACATGCACACAAACGGGCAGAATTGGGCCTTCCAAATCATATTATCCCCTAGGACTCCTCCAAGATGTTTCACACTTGAAGGGGCTTCCCTAATGTTGTACTCCATACCGTACCCCATCACATAAATGCATATGATGCATGTCACACATTCACAAACTCATGGACTCAACATTTTACTTGTCAAGGAATTTCGTGTCTTATCTCATTTCATCACGTTTCACATTCTCATAGTCATAGTATTCATAATAGCACATAATTCACATCATGTCTCATGTCACTTGTTCACATTTCACATTTCTCATAATCATACTCATAAGATCATAATTTGGAGATTATTGACATTATCATGCTCATAAAACACATCATTTACGTTAACACAGTAATAAGGCAATTCTCACACAATTTGCACCTTTAAACAAGACATAAAACATGTAAAACATCATAGGGATCACGCCCGGTCCGCCCCAACTCTCACCTGGCGCATTAGATGTCGCACCAAAAGCGGAGCATTATGCTCGGCGTGCTTAGCAAATTTAATGTCGCGCCTAAAGAGGAGAATTCTGCCCGATGCAACTTTACATGAGCTCAGCGTGACTTTCCTGCGCCCAGCCCAACTTTCTTGAGCCCGACTTAATTTTCCTAAGGTTGACTCAATTCTCCTAAGCCCAACTCAATTTTCCTGAGCCTGGCTCAATTTTCCTGGGAAACTATTAATTTGTGCCCAACACGAAGAACTACACCCGATGCCCTTAGTGCGAACCTACACTTCGCAATGAGATGATTTTCACAACCAACATGATGTAATCATATAAATCAATCGGTAAAAATCCTCCAAAAAACACTTTGAACATAAATTCATACTCAGTTTTTCATAAAGTACCTCAAATCTTGTCAAAAGATCATACCCCTAATTGTTTCTCATAGAATTTCCCACAAAAACCTACAAAGCACTCTAAATCATATCAAAACTTATCTAATTTTGAACTCAAACACATATTCATGCATCACATCCAACCAGAAACCTAACCGAAAACTCATATATTAAAACAAAAAACTTTCAAAATTTGTCTGTTCCTAAAGCATGCATCAGGATTGGGGGTCAATCCTATTACCTAACAATTATTCTCACACCCTCAAGCGAGGTTTCTCACTCCTCCCTTACCTAGATGAGTAAAAGACGAAGCGTGGACAAAATCTGGTTGGTCTCCTTTGCTTGGTTCTCCTTGGTCTTCAAAGAGCGTAGAAAGAAAATGAATACGGAGAAGTCAGGAGAACGAAGCGTAAGATAACTTCTGATAACTCCCTTTTTAAAATAATAAAAATATAATAATAATAATAATAATAAT